TGGGTAGAACAGAGAGGCAGCTTAAAAGAAGAACACCCTCAAGGGGATGGATTGATACCGGGGCTGCAATAGGCTCAAGCAAAGAAACAATTGTGAGGGTGGTGCAGGACCAGGCAGGGTTTTGTTTTGTTGTGCAGAGGGTCCCTGTGGGTCAGAATTGACTTGATGGCACCTAACAGTAACACCACCAAATGTTTTATCATACATTTTTCACATGCCATAAAATAAATAGAATGTAGTACAATTCAAATGTGTGAGCAATTACGAGTTGCACTGATAGATTATAGAAATAACATATGCCAGATATTATGCTAATTGAATTTATATTAAATGTCTATACTAAAAGAAACTCACTGCCATTAAGTCGATGCCAACTCATAGTGACCTTATAGGACAGGGTAGAACAACTCTTGCTGAGTGTTCCTAGACTATAAGTCTTTATGGGTGTAGAAAGCCTCATATCTTTCTCCCCAAAAGTACCTGGGTATTTCAAACGGTTGACCTTTCAGTTAGCAGCCCAGTGGGGTAACCACCACGCCACCAGGGCTCCTTTGAAACTATTTACAATTTCTCTATTACAGCTGTCTCTTTTGAGTAGTCTGGTAGTGCAATGGGTTAAGCACCAAGCTGCTAATTGTGAAATTAAATGGTTCAGACCCACCAGCCAATCTGAAGGGAAAAGATGAGGTAGTCTGCTTCCTTGCAAATTTACAACCTCGGAAACCCTTATGAAACAGTTCTACTCTGTCCCGTAGGGTCGCTGTGAGTTGCAGATGCCTCGGTACAATGGGACATTGAATACCTACTATGATCCTTGACTGGGCCTAGACTCTGAACAAAGCAGAAATGTTCCTTGTATGGTACCTTGGTGGCATGGTGGGTTACATGGGCTACTAACTACCAAGTCAGCAGATTGAAACTGCCAGCCGCTCCACAGGAAAAAGATGAGGCTCTCTACTCCTGTAAAGATTTACAGTCTCTGAAACCCACGGGAAGTTCTACTCTGCTCCATAGGGCTGCTGTAAGCCAGAATTGACTCTATGACAGTGAGTTGTGAGTGAGAAGTGGGAGTTGAAGGACAGTTCTCTAAAGAAACATTCTAAGCCAGATTTTGAAGGATGAGAGGAGATAGAGAGTAAGAAATGAAGTAGGAGGTGTTCCAGGAAAAAGGAATTACCGTGTATACTCGAGTATAAACCGACCCGAATATCAGCCGGGGCACCTAATTTTACCACAAAAACTGCATTAAAAATGTGCTGAAAAACTAGGCTTATACACAAGTATATAGGGTACACAGGCAAAGTCCTTGAAGGCTCAAGGGGCAGTAAAATTTTTTTTAAAGTCTAGCATGTCCAAGGCTTAGAGTGTAAAAGGTGAGCCAAGGGCCTTGTGTGCTATATTGTGACAGTGTGTGTTAGTCTGGGTACATTAGAGAAACAAATCCACAGAAACTCATGTGTAAGAGAGAATTTTATATAAAGGTTAAGTGCACATCAAAAAAACATCCCAACCCAGTGCTGCCCAAGCCCACAAGTCCAGCATTAGCCCATATGTCCAACACCAATCCACAAAGTCTTCCTCCATCTCACAAAACACACACAATGATGCCGACTGCAGGAGGAAAGCCGAGTCAGTGAATGTGTAAGCATCTCAGCGCTGGAAGGGGTCTCCACACAGCTGCTCCAGCACCCAGGGCTGCATCGGGGTAGGTCCATGTGGCTTTTCCTCAGGGATGTCTTGCAGGAAGTGAGCCTTGCCAATTGAAGCAGGGAACTGGCTAAGGCAGCTGCACCCTGGTCCAACCATCAGAAAGCAAGAGACCAGAGAATTAAAAAGGCAAGGCTCACCGAGCCATTTCTCTCTCTACCCTTCAATTAACCCCACATGTGTTTATTGGCCAGGTTGGCACAATAAAGTTTAACTATTTTACAGAGTCTGGATTTTATGCTGAGGGTAGTTTGGGAAGCCATCCTTAGATTTAGAGAGGCTTTGTTATGTTTTTGCTCAGATTGTTGTTTTAGCAAGGACGCTGGCTGTAGTCCGCAGTTTACGTTAGGTGTAGCTGGGAAGGGCAGATGTTAGTTTGGGAAGCCAACAGTACAGGGTGAGTGTAAGAATAAAGAACTCATTAACTGCCACCAGTCTATGCTGACTCATTGCAACTCTGTAGGATAGGGTAGAACTGCCCTGTGGGTTTCTGAGACAGTAACTGCAGAAGTAGAAAGCCAATATCCAGAAAAGTATGTAAGTCCTGGAAATACTTAGGAAGTGGAATTGGTTTGGGTGACTAAATGTGAAGTAGAGAGAGGAGCTCAAGATGACTGGTTCTTAGATTTCTAGCCTGGCATGCCATTGTTTTTAATAGAAAACTTAAGTGGAGGAATAGGTTTGGGAGGTGTCCTTGTTCAGAATTTGCTACTTTATTTTTGTAGGGATATTTGAGACTGATTCCCAAATGCCATTCTCAGACTGACCACCTGAACTTTTTTTGGTATTCTGTAGAATTTGAAATGGCATTTCTAATATTAATTCATAAACGTAACTCTTGTTTAGCATATTCCTTCAGCTCTAACAATGCTGCCATAAACAAAATCTGAACAAATTCATTAATATATAGCAAGGACTTCTTAGTATGTAGAAATTTAGCCATCTGTTGTAAAAAAAATTACTTCTAAATTGTTTGAAATTGCCTTAATACAATAATAACTGAGAATCGATATGTAATACCTATTTGCAACCTTTTATTCATTATCAA